TCAAGCGTTACTTTTTGTACTAAGTACTTAACTGTCGACTAAATATATTATTCCGAAATGTCATCATTGAAACGTCTTGCTTGTTAGAGGGTCTTAATTAGTTCCGCTGTTTAAATGTATCAACACTGTGATATTTGTGTATCAACAACCGAGCTGCCTTGCGGCTCTGTGTGAATGAAGCCACATGAAGCTATTTCAGGGATGGTGGGTGGCAGAGGACCCTCGCTGAATCATCCCAGTGAGGGGGGGGGGGGGGGGGGATGACGTGGCTGGAAGCTGATACATGGACCACGTATTAGTCAGGGGGAGCCCCAGAGGGAGCACGCAGGTCAGGCCGGTTTAGAATGATTGGGTGGGTGGGGCAGGGGGGGTCACTCTAGGGGAGATGGCAACATGCTCAGGCGGTGCCCCCCCCCCACACCTCATCCTGTCACCCTCGCAGGGAGCCCCGCAGAGAAGGCAGGCCTCAAACCCGGGGATCGTATCCTGTTTCTCAACGGACTGGACATGAGGTGTGTGCACTGGGGGGGGGGGATGACAGTACTCTGGTTATTATCTCTTGTAAACATGACACACAAATTCACAACACATCTTGAAATGAGGTTCCATCTACTGCAGTCAGACAGAAATAGCAACTCACCCCAGCGTGTTTAGTTTTACGCAGTGCTGTGTATATGAAAATAGATGCATTTAATAGCGTCCAGTCCTGCTGAACACCCTGTTCAGGTCCCCCCTTTCTCTCAGCTGAAGGCGATTGGGCCCCACTTCCGCCCTTCAGCTATATTTGCCTAGGCCCCGCCCCTTCCCCACCCTTCCTCTAACACACTCCATTACTCATTCATAATACTAATAAGCCCCTCCCCCATATCTGCCAGGTGCTGCTCCCATGAGAAGGTGGTCTCCATGCTACAGGGTAGTGGGGCCATGCCCACCCTGGTGGTGGAAGATGGGCCATCAGGCCCCCCCCTGGCACCCCTGGAGCCTGAGCTGGGGGTACCTGGCTCCCCGGGGTCTCGATCTCCTGAGCTCCGATCACTGCACTGGGTCACAGAGATCCTGCCCCCCAGCATCCGTGTCCACGGCCGCACCTTCGGCCAGCAGCTGGAGCACCTGCTCACGCACCAGGAGCGCTACACCATCTGCAAGGCGCTGGAGCTTTTCTTCCAGCAGAGGTGTGTACAACGTTCCTGTTTCCCTCCGTGACGTGTGGCTCCGACGGCCCACTGTCTCACCTGCCTCCCCACACACGGCACAGAAACGTGGACACACTCATCGTGGACGTCTTTCCTGTACTGGACACACCTGCCAAGCAGGTCCTCTGGCAGTTCATCTACCAGCTACTGACCTACGAAGAGCAGGAGCAGTGTCAGCAGAAGATGGCTCGTTTCCTGGGCTTCCGCACGCAACCTGCAGGTGCGTTTCCCTGTCCGCACGAACCCGCATGTGTGTAATCTTTACTGCATCTGTCGTCCGGTCTCGTGTTAATATTCGCTCTTCTGCGTGCCGTGATTTCCTGCGTATGCATGTCTCTCCCCACCCCAGCTGCCCCCGCCGAGCCGGAACCTGCCCCTGAGACACACCGGCGTAGCAGCTCCATGCGTGTGACGGGCACGGCGTACCGGAGCAGCGTGAGAGGCCGCAGCTCTGACGACCTCATCATAGGCACCAACCTGGGCATGGGTCTGCCTGCAGCATGTCTGAACTCCGCTCCCAGTATGTCCAAACTCTGCCCGTAGCATGTATAAACCCAGCCTGAGTATTTATAGACTCCGCCCACGGCACGCATGAACCCCGCCCCCAACATGTTTTAACTCCACCCACACCTAGCCAAAGCTCCACCCACAAATAAACATTAGTTAATAGCTTATCTAAAGCTTATATAAACTTTGCGGCTGTTACACTGTTCAGCTTTATGCCCCCCTGGGAGGATTGTCACTGCTTGCCTTTATATTTAATATTTCACACTTTAAACCAAACAACATTTGGCCTGCTTGTTTAATAATGGGTTCTTGCATTTGACTGGTTGATAGCTGTTTTTGCTCCTTAACTGGAGTGCACTTGTTTATCTCACTGGTTTATTCAGTTACAGTTTGCTTGTTTTTACTTAGATAGATTAAACAGGTCTCCAGGAAAGTCCCTGAGGTTGTTAGCCTCCATGTCTGCTTTTCTCGTCACCTCATAGGCGTCACTGAGCATGTGCGGGGTCTGGAAGGAGCATTTACCTCGCTCTGTCTCCCTCTGTCCCCAGGGACCCATAACGAACCCATGGAGGTGGGCATGCGGCTCGCCCCCGGGGAGCGGCAGTCTGGAGACGGGACGTCCCTTCCTGAGACTCCCAACCTGAACAATGTGGGTATAAACAGCCTCCATCCAATCACAGTGCTGACAAGGCAGCTAGGACAGCTCTGGTGATTCGTGTCGTCCATCTGCAGCTGTCCACCGTCTACACTGAACTGGAGGTGGGGAACGTGTACTCGGGCGGGAAGGCCTCCAGGTCCCTGAAGAGTCGCTCCTCGCCCCTCCCAGAGCCCGTGGTGGAGCCCGACGCCATTGGCCACACCCACTCCCCCTCCATGCATGGAGGAGGTCAGTATGTCTATCTGGCGTTCAGGTCTAGGTGTTCAGCTCTGTCATGGGACTGAGCCTGCAATCCTTGGAATCAGTGGTCAAGGGAAGATGCCATAGATTTACTGTACAACACGGTATTTTGTAGCAGTCAGACTCAGTTATGAATTTCTCTTCAGCTCTGCATTCTGTGATTCTTCTGTCCCTCATTTAGCTTCATATTCTGTGATCTTTTGCGCATGTGTTCTGCAGGCAGTCGGAAATCAGCGCCCTCCCTGTCCTGGAGGGAGCAGCTGCCCAGTGCCGCATGCCAGTGCTACCCCGCGGGCGTGCCCGGCCAGGCCGGCGCCGAATCCAACCCGTACATGAGCCTGGACAGTCCCCTGCCGTCACCACCGCCTGTCGACTACCCCCCCACGCCCCCGACCCACCGCGGGAACCTCTTCACCTTCTCGCCCCCACCCCACACACAGGACACTGACAAGTTCCTGGATGCGTTGAACGAGCAGCTCGGCCACCGTGTCACTGCGGTGGACGACTTCCTCACTCCAGACAACGACTACGAGGAGGTAGGTCACCCCGGCTGCACGTCAGTCACGTGATATGGAAAAGGAAGAAGCTCATTGGCTCATCCCTGCAGCCGGTGGTGGCTCTCGTCTGTACCGTTAAAGCTCCTTAGTGCCGCTCGGTCTGCGCACGTGATGTGAATGGCAGCCCGTTAGCTCTGGCCGTGCTTCCCCGCAGGCATCCATGCAGCTGGGCTTCCAGGAGGAGGAGGACGACGGTGGCTTCCTGCCGCAGGATGCGAGCAGCCCCAGCGAGCTGCACAGCAGCAGCGACGACGCTAGTTCGCTCACCTACTCCTCCAGCTCTGAGCAGATCCCACCCCCTCCCCAGAGTCCGCCGCCACCCCCGCCCGTGCAGTTCAACGACCCGCCCCTGCCGGACGAGCTCTCCCCGGAGCGTGCCCCCCGGGGACCGTCGCCCTTCCGGCGCCACGCAGTGCCCCCTCCGCCTCCCCCGCCACGCGGCATCCTGCCCAACCGCCAGTCGCTGCACAAGGTGCTGCCCACACGGGAGGAGCTGCAGGCCCAGCACATGCACCCCAGCCACCAGTCGCTGCCGCTCATCCTGTCCCCAGAGACCACTCTCCTGCTGCAGCAGGTGCAGATCCGGTCGCAGCCCCACTCACTGCCGCACTCGTCCCCGCAGCCCATCCTGTCCTCCTTCCAGCCGCAGCAGCATCTAGTCCACCAGGCCCAACCCCCTCAGCCCATCTACCAATCGCAGTCGCACGGCCCGCAACCTACCTACCAATCAGTGGAGCATTCCATCCGCCAGTCTCCTAATCTGACGTACCAGTCACCGCCCCCTAAGCCTGTGTACCAATCGCATCAGCATTCTGCCCACCAGGCACCGCCCCATCCCCTATCCTTCCAATCACCTCCTCCAAGGCCTCCCTACCAATCGCAGCAACATCTCGCCCACCAGGCCCAGTCCTCTCAGCTAACCTACCCGTCACCTCCCCCTAAGACTCCCTACCAATCACAGCAGCATCCCGCCCACCAGGCCCAGCCCCCTCGGCATAGCCCTGTCCCATCACACCATTCAGGCCAATCACACACAGTGCCCCCGCCCCCTCCCCCTCTGCCCCCGCCATGTGAGCCTCCCCCTCTGCCCCCGTCCACGCTCCAGCGTGCAGACTCCAGCCAGATGAACGTGAAGCGCCTCCGATGGGAGCAGGTGGAGAACTCGGAGGGCACCATCTGGGGTCAGGTGGGTATGGCGTGACGTCCTGTCCGCATTACGTCTGTCCAGTCAGCAGGGGGTGCCAAATCTGCTCTGTGTTGCAGCTCGGCGCCGACTCTGATTTTGACAAGCTGAGTGACATGGTGAAATACCTCGATTTGGAGCTGCACTTTGGGACCCAGAAGAGCCCCAGTAAGTATCAGAGGGCTTTCCCCGCATCATCAACGGCCGTAAGCCTCACAGAGGATAAGAGTGATGTTGAGTGATGTCATGTAAATGCAACTTAACAGTTCAGTTTTACGTTTGCCTTTCAGAATCATTTTAATTAAACTGCAGCACCTTTCGATACTTGCAGAGCGAATGCTGCATCTGCTCACTGTATCATTACACTGGGCTGCTGTAGGTTCTCATTATGATGTGCCTCAGAGATCCACCCTTATTTAACAACCTTAATGATTTGTTTACACTTTTATGGGCTCACTTTTCATCAATTACAAAGCCATTCAAATAAACGCCAACCTTCCCTCCCTCCCTCCCTCCCTCTGTCCCTGCTTATCCTTTGCTCTGCTTATCTTCCTGTGTGCCTCTGCCTGTCTCTTGCTCCACCATCACTTTTCCTCTCCTTCATCTCTGTGTATACATGTCTCTCTGTCCCCATCACTTGGTCTGTCTGTCTCTCTGTCTGTCTGTCTGTCTCTCTGTCTGTCTGTCTCTTTCTGTGTCTGTAACTTTGTCTGTGTCTCTCTCTGTCCCGGTCACTTTGTCCGTTTCTCTCTGCATCACTCTGCCTGTCTGTCTGTCCCTCTCTATCCCCATCACTCTGCCTGTCTGTCTCTTTCTATTCTTGTCACTCTATCTCTCTCTCTAGCCCTCTAACTTTGTCTCTGTCTGTCTATCTGTCTCTCTCTCTCTGTCTCTCTCTCTCTCTCATATCTCCCCTCATCATCTGCCCCCTGCCAGAAAGGCCTGCTGCCTGCACTGCCCCCCCCCTCCCCCCACACACATACACACTCAGAGCCCGGTTCCCCATACCTGCTCAGGCTATCAGCAAAACGGCACCTCATGCTTGTAAATTGTGTCAGTCTCTGTTCCAGAACTGATCCTGCAGTCTGAATCCTTCAAGAAGAGGGACGTGATTGAGATCCTGTCACACAAGAAGGCCTACAACGCCTGTGAGTATGCCGGTCACCCCGGGGCGGTGGGGGGGGCTGTCAGATGGGAGCTGGCGGTCACGTGGTTGCCGTGTATCCCCAGCCATCCTGATCGCCCACCTGAAGCTGTCCCCCGCTGAGCTGCGGCACGTGCTGATGACCATGGCCACAGAGCGCCTGGAGCCTGCACACATCAAGCAGCTGCTGCTGTACGCGCCGGACGACGACGAGGCCCAGCAGTATGAGCGGTACCGGGACAAGCCGGCCAAGCTCAGCGAGCCCGACCAGTTTGTGCTGGAGGTGCGTGCATGTGTGGGGGCCTGTACCACGGCGACACCCCCGCCAGACCAGAACAGTGTCATCCAATGATATGATACTCTCATGGGTCTGAGTTTCTTGTGGTGCTCCCAGATGCTTTCCGTTCCTGACTACAAGACCCGTCTGAGGAGTCTCCTCTTTAAGACCACGCTCCAGGAGAAAACCGAGGAGATGAAGGTTGGCTATGAGTGCATCTACAAAGCCTCCCTGGAGCTCAGGAGCAGCAAGAAGCTAGCCAAGATCCTGGAGGTACGCGCGGCCGCATGGTCCTTGTGTCCCGTTGCATGCTTCATTTCTGACGTCTGTTTTTGACACAAGCCAGCTCAGACCTCAGCTGTGATCCAGACTCTTTCTTTGTAGTTTGTCCTGGCTATGGGGAACTACCTGAACAATGGGCAGCCCAAGACCAGCAAACCCACTGGATTTAAGATCAATTTTCTGACTGAGGTACAGCCTTCCGGCCTGGAGAGACACTGTCAGTGTGGGTCAGCCTGCAGTGAAACACGTCCATAATCAGACAGATATAATAATATAAATACAGACCTACACTGTCATTGAGAACATCTCTAAGTCTGCTTAGTCTGGGCTGGTCCCGAGGCATTGTGGAGTTTCTCAACTCCTCGCGGGACCAGGTGAAGCCACATGATGACTGTGTCACAACCTTGCAGCTCAGCACCACGAAGACGGTGGACGGCAAGTGGACTTTCCTGCACGTCCTCGCCAAATCGTTAAGCCAGCACTTTCCGGAATTACTGGGCTTTGCCAAGGACCTTCCCACCGTGTCCCTCGCTGCCAAAGGTGAGCGAGCCCTGCGACTCACCTGGGAATCTAGTGCTGCAGCTGGTGAATTACAATGCTCTGAAAAACAGGAGGCCAGAAGAGGCTAACAGAGAGAGAGAGACAGGCTGCCTGAGAGAGAGAGAGACAGGCTGCCTGAGAGAGAGAGACAGGCTGACTGAGAGAGAGAGAGACAGGCTGACTGAGAGAGAGAGAGAGAGACAGGCTGACTGAGAGAGAGAGAGACAGGCTGACTGAGAGAGAGAGAGAGACAGGCTGACTGAGAGAGAGAGA